GAAGACAATAGCTGTGGGGAAATATTTCAGTCGATATTTGGGCAAGGCTTATACACGTGACAAAACAAGATTATGGCTTTTCATCCCCAGATTTGTCTTTCTGAGACTCTGCTGTCCCTGAGGAGACCGAGCAGCTCTGGAGCTGGATGGAGCTGGATGTGGATTGGGATTGTGTGGACTCCAGCACCCTCTAATGGTGCCAGCACTCGCTCCCTGTGCGTCCCTAAATCCTTACAAATCCTTTCAAACTGTGGAATAATGAGAACAATTCTGCTGCAAATGGCCAATTTTTCACTCGGTGGCAATTAACAGTTTTGTGCTATTTTAAAGAGCTTTAATTGCAATCTGTTCTGTCAGACCCTGTAGCACACTCCATATATCCTGCCTGTATTTCCACGTTAAATTAGGATAAAATGTTCCAGTGGGGGATGGGACAAATGAAGAATCAGAGTGAGCAGATGCAGGTGATGACTAAGAGCAAACAACATCCCGTGTGCAGCTTGGCAGGGCTGGGACTGCTGGGTAGGACAAAAAAATCTGAGAAACCTGAAGGGGAAATTATATTTATATTGGTTTAATATAAATGGGAAGATAATTGTTTAAATCTAATAGACAATTAGGTTTAATATTGTCTAATAGACAATAGGTTTAATATTAATGGGAGGTTAATTGTCTAAATCTAATTTTTGTCTGACAGCTGAAGAGAAATCTTAAAACTGAGTGTTCAAACAAAGGTCCACCTGCTTCATTAGAGCCCTGCTGATTTACATGAGTATGTTCTAGCAGTTTCCTAATTTGCTTTCTCCACTGCAAAGTAGCATCCATGGGTTATGTGGATAAAGGAATGGTGGGACCATTGTGTGTGTGCACAAACTCCTGTGAAATGGAGGAGTCCCAGTACAGAGCTGCAAAATCCTGCTGCAATAACAAAAACTGGCTTTTCCTGGAGTTTCTGGGAAGGTGTTAATGTGTAAATGTGGTGGCTTATCCCACAGAGTGGAGAGTTCTTAATGCTTGTAACAAAAATACAGCTTGCTCATAGCTCAGTCCCAATGCTCAGTGCATGCCCTAGGAAAGCTTTGCCTGCTCCTCTGCACAAGCTGGGTGCAGCAATCCTGAGAGAAAGCCCAAATCTGATATGATAACATTGAGCATTCAGATTTGATTTATCTCCTTACCTACAAGTACAGCGTGGGGAAGGCCAAGATGGGTCTGAGATAGGGAGGGTTGCTGTGTTTTTCCTACAATAAAGGACAGAAATGGGCCAGCCTTGGGGCTCACAAGCTTTTTTAGCTCAGCAGGAGCTCAGGAGCCAGCCAGGGTTGGGTTTAGTTCCCATTTTAGCTCATGGATTATCAAATTTTCTTGGATCTCTGTCACTGATAAGCAAAACCACGTGGAACCTACCCAGATAAAAATATGTCTGACAACTGGGTCACTCCTTTATTTTACATGCCCTGGCTCCAGAGTAGTTGGAAAAGTTGGCTCTGCCCAAAGTTTGGCTCCCTGCAGCTTGCAGGGGCTGTAGCTGACTTTGCCCACAGCTCCAAGGCTCATGTGTTACCAGCTCAAGCAAGACTGGGAAATGAACACTGGGGAAGTAACTTGTGCAACTTTGGGTTTTGAATCAGAATATCATTTTGAAATTCAGACATTAAGCCAGGCACAGTTTCACATTCAGCACTGCAAAGACAAACTGCATTTTCCAGTTGTGGTTTTTTTACAGGACAATTGAGCATTTTCTACCATGAGTGATTTTTTTTAAAGCATTTTCTCACAGGAAAGAGCATCTCAGTGAAATTTGTACATATGGGGTTTTCTGCAATTGTTGTAAAAACTGGCATTTCTTTCCTGATTTCTTTTAGCTGGTTTGGACCAGTGCCAGAGCCATCTTAGCTGCTGTCAGCCTTGCTCTTGGGGATGACGTGTTCCCTGGTGCCCTGAGTGCCACTGGTGAGTCACCACCATCTTCCTTTCTTTAAGCACCCAACACTTCGTTTCTCCAGAAGAACCGGTGATGATGAGCCTTGTTTAAATTACCCTAAAGCTGCTGGGACCCGGGGTTTGTCTGCAGTCTGTGGCAGTGGTTTTGAACAGTGTTGTTACACCATGGTGCAACCACAGCTTGCTGAGCTCTGCAGAAGTTCCTCTCCCTGTTGAAAGCTGGTGAAATGTGTCTTAGCAGGAAACTGCTCGTGGTCAGGGTTGAATTTAAGGATAGGGATGTTTATTAGGATAATCCCACTGTTGTATTTCCTGTGGAGCCCAATCAGGCTGCACATCCAGAGAGGTTTTTCTCTCCTTTTACAACTGGCTGAAGGTCAATTTAGATTTAATATTTACTCTGAATAACACATGCAGTATTGATTTCTGGAAAGGGCACGAGGAGCCTTATCCCAGGTATATCTCACTCCAGCTGTTTCAAATGGGGAGCTACAGCAGAACCACAAGTGCAGAAACACACCCCAAGATTTAATGTCACCTGATTGTTTTGTTTCAAAGAGCTGTATTTGGGAATCTCACCTCAGATGAGCTCATGTTTATATAACTAAGTGTCCCCTGGAAGCCCAGGAAATAAGAATTTTGAGGATGATCCATGTGGATCTTAGAGGATGTAGAAAAACTGGCTGTTGAACAAAAGAAAAAGCCTGAACTTTGTTTGCAGAGGCTTTACCTGACACAGTCTGCTCACTGCTGCCTGTTCCTTTGCTGTCTGTGGGGAAGGTGCCTTCCTGCTTCACAGGAACATGCAGGAAAAATGTCCCATGGATGTGCTGTTCATCCCATCTGCCTCACGAGAGGAGATTCTGTGAGCTGCTTTAGGGAGTGATCTAACTCACAAAAGTGATTTTTAAATATTATTGATTATAAAATGTACTGCTGGCAAAAATATTCCTCATCAGTGCTTACACTGTGGGGGAAGGAGGGAAACAAGGGGGCACTCACATCTTCTTCTCCTAAATCCTCAAAACTTGGGGTGTTTGTGTTCTAGATGCCCTTCCTGAATCTCCTGGGAGGAGGTTTTTCATGTGTGTTTATATATATAAAAAATAAATATAAATTTCTGTTTAAGGGTTACATGCAGCTCAGGCCAAGCTATGTTATCCTGTCTGCAAGGCACTTTGGTACAGCAGGGGCTCCCCAAAATCTTGGTTAAGTTCAACCCCACACAGAAAATTAAAACAGGTGCCAAATGTTCAGGTTTTATATTAAAGGAAGAATTGAGTAGCTGGAGAAGAGGATAATACTGATTGTAAAGCTTGAGCAGGGTAGAGAACAGGTTAATAGAGCTGTCACTTCAGTAGTGAATAATTTTTTTGAAAAAAACAGAGATTGTAGATCATATCCCTCTTAAAATAGTGGGAGAACTAAATTTGGAATTACAGGTGTGGCCTGAGGATTTGTGGGTGATGTCTTAATTCATTGATCTGGGCAGGAGAATGGCAAATGTGGTGCCTGTACCCAAAAAGAGAAAAGGGTTGGTGGAGGCAGCACGGCTCCGAGTGTGATCCCAATGAGGGAAGTTTTAGAACAAACTCTGAGGGGAAAAAAACCTTGCTGAACAAAGAGGTGACCAGAAAGTGTCACAAATTACACCAGAGGTTTGTCAGAAGAACATTCTGTCAGATAAGTCATTCTCTTGATGAGAAAACTAATTTCCTTACCAGACATGATAGAGTGGAGTTAATTACCTGGAGCTGCAACTCAAATCACTGAGTGAGAATGAGGAGATTCCTACCAGAATTCAAAGGGGTTTGTGGAGCAGTCTGGGGCACGGGGGTTCTTTTTGTTTTCTGTTTTATACATTAAATGCCATGTTGGAGAGGGCACTCCTTTTGTTCCACGAGTTGTCTGGAATATGATTGTCCCATGGATATTCCGTAATAGTAAGTGAATATTACATATATATTCACTTATATATGGAAGTGTGTTTGTGTGTGTATATATATACACACAAACACACTCCTGGGTGTGTGCTGAGGGAATTGAAGGCAATGCCAAGCTCTTGTCTGTGCAGAGGACAGGACAGTGCTGCAAGGTCCCAGGATGGGTCAGAGGGGAGGCACCACAGTGGGTCTGTCTGGTGCCACCTCCCTGCTCCAGCAGAGCCATCCCGGAGCACCGGGCACAGGTTCGTGTCCAGACAGCTCCGGAATATCCCCAGGGAGGAGCCTGCACAGCCTGTCTACTCTCTGCTCAGGGCTGGGCACTGCCAGGGAACTTCTTCCTCATGTCCAGCTGAAACTTCCCGAGCATCAGTTCCGCTGGTGCCATTGCTGGGCCCAGGAGCAGAGCCTGGTGCATGTTCTGACACCTCCTCTTTGATATTTATGGATCAGCCGTCTCCTCCCGAGGCTGCTGAGCCCCAGCTCCCTCAGCTTTCCCCTCAGAGAGGCTCCAGCCCCGCCATCACCTCGACAGCCCCGGGTTTGCTGAGCTGCGGAGCCCGGAGGGGCACACAGCGCCCTGGGTGTGCCCACAGGGCTGAGCAGATGGGGCAGCTCCACGTCCCTACCGTCCCCAGCACACAGAGCCGGCACGGGCGGGCTGTGAGGGGAGAGCGCGGCCGGAGCAAAACTCCCTCAGCCAGGGCAGGCACGGGCAGGCTGTGAGGGGAGAGCGCGGCCGGAGCAAAGCTCCCTCAGTCGGACTGTGAGGGGACAGCGGCCGGGGCAAAGCTCCCTCAGCCGGGCTGTGAGGGGGAAGCGCGGCCAGAGCAAAGCTCCCTCAGCCGGGCTCGGCACGGGCGGGATGTGAGGGGAGTGAGGCCGGAGCAAAGCTCCTTCAGCCGGGCTGTGAGGGGACAGCGGCCGGGGCAAAGCTCCCTGAGCCGGGCTCCGTGCGGACGGGCTGCGAGGGAGACAGCGCGGCCGCAGCGTCCCTCCCTCAGCCCGAGCGCCACTGCCCGCCCGCCCCGCCAGGGGGCGCCGCTGCCCGCAGGCCGCTCAGCCGAGCGCCGAGCGCGCCGGCCCCGGGGCAGCCCGCGCAGCCGCGCGCCGATGCGCGACGCTGAGGGCGGCGGGATGGCGCTGTGGCGGGGGCTGCGCTGCTGCCGCCGCGCCTTCGCCTGGGTGCCCGTGCTGCTCATCGCGCTGCTCCTGCTCTGGTCCTACTACGCGTACGTCTGCGAGCTCTGCCTCGGTGAGCGCCGCCCCTGCCCAGCGGGGCCCCCGCTGCAGGCCGTCCCTCGGTGCCGCCGGGGCCCCCGCGGAGCTGCGGGCGGGGGGCGCGGCGGGCCGGGGGCTTCGGCTGTTCCCTTTCTCCTCTTACTCTTTCCATTCTCCTTCTTCTCCTCTTCCTCTTCCTATTTCCCTCCTCCTCTTCCTCGCCTTCTCCACTTCCTCCTCGCTCTCCTCATCCTCTCTTCCTCCTCCTCCTCCTCCTGCCGTGCCCGCGGTGTGAGCGGGGCCCCGGTGCCCCTCGGTGTCCCGAGGCTTCGATGCCGGCAGCGATCCGTGCGCAGGGACGAACACTTCAGTACGAGCCGAGCCCTGCTCGGGATCAGTGGGGTTTCGGATGTGCTGCCCTGCTTTCCGCAGGGCTTGTGCCCGGCCGGGCGGGCTGCGGGCTGGGGGTGCTGTCTGTCGGTCCTGGGCCCCGGTTCTGTGTGTCCTGGCAGCGGGGAGGTGGCGTTTGAGAGGGCTGGGATGGTGATCCCCCCGTGAAAGGCGGCGTTGTTGTGATTTGATAACGTGCAGATGTGATTTGTGAGCTAAACAGTAACAAACACCAGTCTATGCCCTGCCTTACAATGGTTTTATGTTTGTATTGTGAAAAGGAAATAAATAGGTTACATGGGATCACACTCAGGCGTGGAGTTGTTACAGTAGCACAGAAAACGCTGCATTTGAGAAGAGGAAGTTTTATGCTGGCTAGTAATTGTATATTTAATGTAACAATTTAACTGTATAGTAAGTTGCAAACTTTCTTATGTTTGTTATATCTGGTTTAGTGTGCTATTGGAAAAAAGAGTTGTTAGCTCTGGTGGAGAGAAGAGCTGGAAGCTTGGATTTGTGAAATTGTGAGAAGGAGCTGTGATTCCTCAGGACAGAGTAAGGCAGACAAACGAAACCAGAGGTCTCAGATAGTTTGAGATATTCCTGGGGCAGGAGCTGCCTTCTGGTGCTGCACAGCAAACGTAAATCAGGTGTTTGTTAGGGTTGGCAGTGCAGTGAGACCTGCTGGTTTTTCTCCATGGGAGCTAGAATGAAATGCAGCTTCTTTGGTCTGTTTTAATCAGCAGCTTGGCAAAGCCCCCAAACACTTCATCGCATTTATCCCATCTCTGAGACTGTGGGCTGTTTCTTTCAAGAATTCACATGGGATGATATCTCTGAGGTGCATGGAACTGTCATTAGAACATGTGACAAAAAATGTGGAGCATTTTCCTGGAACACTGTCAGTGTTTTGAGATGTGCTGTGCAAATTCAGTAATATTGAACACAGGCTGATCCCAGGTCCCCGTGCAGCTGCTGGAGGAGGCTCAGGTGATTTCAGTGAGGTTTGGGTTGGGCTGTGCTGCTCCCCAAGTGCTGGTTCAGCTGGCAGGAGCTCAGCTTGCTGTGTGGAATCACAGCTTAAATTCATTCATTTTCCCGCACCCACCATGGTTTTTTACCCTGTTTCTCTCTCATCTATTTTATTTGTGTGTGGAGGAGTTTATCTATGCAGAAGTTGCGATGATTGAGTTATTTCAGGATTGGAGCATGAACACTTGGCCTGTGCTGTTACTTGCCAAGCAGGATGTTGTCTCTCTCTAATTTCTAACCCAGCAAGGCTTGCTGAGCTGGCTGCCTCTTCTCAGCTGCTGGGAGCCTGTAAAGAGTGAATGCTTTGTCTGGAGCCTGGATTTACATTTTCAGCTGTGCTGAGCTGGGGTGATGTCTGGGAGGCACCTCCTGATGCTCTTTGAGCTCTCAGTGCTGGGCTGGCCAGTGAGTCACAGGAGGAGGGCTCTGTTCTTGTTTGCCACGGTGACAGCAGTGATCCTCCCCAGAACCTTTTGTATCTCTGTGTTCTTGTCTCAGGTAAATCCTTAGCCAGGCCCTGCTGCAGGAGGGAGCCAGGCAGTGCTTGTGAAAATCTCATCGTGGCTTGATTGGCAGCAAAGCAAAGGGAAAAGTGAAGGTTTCCTAACAGTCTTGTTTACTTGAAATTGAGTGGGCAGAGACACAACAAAGATTCGGTTTCTTTTTTCATCTCCGTTGCTGTGTGGCACAAAGCTTTGTCTTCCAGGCAATGCTCTATCAAAATATCACAGAACTCCCTGTTTTCAGTTCAAAAAGCTGTCCTTGTCTCTTCTGTTAAACTTGCATGCTGGCTTTTCAGATAATGGATGGATTTTCAAATAGTCACTACAAGAAGGCATTGAACAATGCACCTTCTGCTGCTTGCTCAGAGGCTTCTGTTAGGAGGGCCTTTTCTCTCATTATGGTGGAATAAGAAGGGGTTGTAAAATTTCTGCTGATAGGTAGTGTAAAAAAACAATGAACTCAGTGCAGTTGCTGACTTGGCCAAAGCTGAGAAATTTTTAATTTTTTAACCCTGCTGATGCAGAAATGCTTTGGGACAGTGCTTACAATGAAGAGTCAAGACCACCTTGAGATCAGTAGAAAGCAGCTGCAAGTGTGTGGAAAATGCAGAGACACAGGTGCTAGAGGAGCCCTGGTGATCTTCTCCCTGTCACCACAGGATTGCTTTTATCATATTTCTAATGCAATATATACAGAATGTATTTTATAAGCAGGGAAAAGACAGCACAAGTGAGAGTGAGTGAACATCTTGCTGTGGGTGTGTGCGTGAGTGAAGAGTTCTTATGGATACTTTGTTTGATGCTGAGCTGTGGGCCATCTCTTTGCCTCTTGAATGTGAACATTTTTCCTAAAATGGCTGTATTTCACACAGAAATGTTAATTGTCACAAACTTCTCTGAGATTCATATTTCCTCTGTGGACACTTGGTTTTTTTTTTTGTTTTCCAGTGACTGTGAGCAACCCTGTGGAGAAAGGTATGTGTGATAATTTATTATTTGCCATGCAACCCTCATGTAAAAGGGCTCACAAATGTTCTGGCTGAGATATCAGAAATATTTGCTGTCATATTTTTAAGGTCCATCCTCTTTCAGTGTTTCCTTCCTGTGACTGCACCCTCCTGAGGCACTGAGCATGCTGAGCTCCTGGGTGCCCTGGGAAATGCTCTGTCAGTCTGGGCAGAGCATGGGAAGGCTCTGATCCCTCTGACTCTTTCAGAAAAGCTCTGTGTGTGTCTGTGCACACCCACACCCCTCTTCTCCCTTTCCCTTTCACATTTCCAGAGCTGATTTTACAAGCCAAACAGAAAATACTAGTTCCCATCTGCAGCCCACCTGGCTTTTTTTGCTGTTCTGGTTGATCTTTCAGTGAAAGCTATTTTTGCTAAGTTTTCTCCCCCAGCTCTGGTGCCCACTAACAGATCCTGAGTCACAGCACAGTAGGATTGCTCAGTGACACTCTTGAGGTGTGTTGGTGGAGGTAATGGCCATGTGCTAAGAATAAGGAGTCAGTGGCTATTTTAACATTTTTCTCCTTCTTTGGATGCTTTTGGCTAATCCAGGTGTTCTCTTGGTGGCTTTGTTCTTCAGGGGTTGTGAAGGACAGGAGTAGGTGTAGTGTGAGCTGTTCCATGAAGAGCAGTGCCAGCTCACATTTAAAGATCCTCCAGATTGCTGCATCCAGTAAATTCCTCTATAAAGCAGCTCAAATGTTTGAAATTGCTACAGAGAAACTGCAGAAAGCAGGATGTTAATGACTGAAAGATGTTAATGGCTGCTCTGCAGAAGAAAGTTCATTGTTGCCTGATCTGTTAGTGCATCTGCAGGTCAGCTTCCTCTAATGTGCTGCTAGCTGATCAACAAAATTAAACCTGTTGCAAGATTTACCTCTTTCCATATTAATTAAAAATGGCTCAGCTCCACCTGTAGTGTGAGGATAACATCTGAAACCAGCTTGGAGCATGAGGATGACTTAGCTGTGATTCACAGCTCCTTCCCACAGTCCATCACATCCTTGGGAGATGTGTCCTGTCTCATTAGAAACTCTCACTGATGCATTTGACCTTTTGTACCAATTTTCACACAGGAAAAGAAGTGTTTTGACATAGTTAAGAAGTGTTTGAATTTTAGATTTCTCTTTCCAACTGGTTATTTTAATCTTATTTTCTAGAATTTGAAGCTGAAATGAAATGGGGAAACGAGATTGTTATTGCAATGAAATGATGTGTTTAAATAAAACTATCTTGTAACTTTGATAATGTCTTAATGAGCTGAGTGTTAAAGAAATGGCAAATAGTCTGTGCAGCTGAAGGACAGCTCCTTTGGCTCCCTGGCCATGGAAAGCCTGCAAATGCCAAAGGAATCAGGTTTGCACATTGAACTGAGACTGTTCTGACATGGGCTGGTTTGCAATTCTCCCTCAGTAATCACAAGCCCTATTTTGCTCAATTTGAGGGAAGTTTTCCTCACTTATTGTATCAACTGTGGCAAATGTAAAATATGTTTAATAAGAAATTAGGCTTTTTCTGGTGATGTAAAGCTCATATTATTTCTGCTGTCACAAGAGGATCATGGTGCAGGGGTGGGCAGTGCACACTTTGCTTCCCACTGCTTTTAGCAGCAACTGAACCCCAATACTGGGAGGAGCAAAATTCACCTTTGCACTGCTCAGCACCAGCCAGATCTGCTGGGCTTGTGCCTGGACTGTGGGGAAGGGACAGGAATCCTGTCATTCCCAGGGATAGGGGGCTGTCACCTGCCCTGTGGGACAATTCTCTGACAGCTGCATCTCCCACAGAATGGGATCAGGTGGAGCAGGGGGAGCTCTGAGTTTGGTCACTCCTGAGCTCTGGGTGCTGCTGACCCTCAGCATGAGGTTTAGCTGGACTGCAATAATGGGTGGCACTGGATGGACATCAGGCTTTTCCTTTCTTCTTTTTATTTTTTCACTTTGTTGTGCAAAATTTGAATTATGCCCATCGTGGATGAAACCTTTGCTTAAGAAGTCATTACTCTGTTTCTGTTTTTTTCTTTTCTCGTTTTGTTTTTAGTGGCCTATCTTGTAGTATTCCATATTCTCTTTGTGCTCTTTGTGTGGACATACTGGAAGTCTGTTTTCACTCTCCCAATACAGCCAGGCAAAAAGGTAAGAGAGCCAACACCTTTCATTCCTTGCAAAACAAAAGCACAGATGTTAAAAAGAACTCAAAAATCCTTCAGTCTAGTTCATCTGAAGAGGAGAGTCAGAGGCAAATGTCTCTTAATTCTTTTCAACCAAATATTTACTTTGTCATGTTGCTGGGGTTACTAGATTTACCTTTTTTTCACATTTTATCTCTCTATGTAATACTAATAAAACACTCAGACTGAGGCAGCAAAATGAGGTCAGTATTTGTGTGGCACTCCAAATATACTCAGCCTTGCTCTGATCCTGATTACAAGAATGTAAATTTATAAATAACAACTAATCCCAGTTTTAAATATTAAAAAAGGTTCTTGCTCACTAGAGAGCTGCTGAATGTGTTATGAAGGTGAGTAATGGCATTCATCTAGGGCAGCAATAGAAGCAATTCTAGTAAGTTGTTTTATGAGCCTTAATTTCAGTTTTTCATTTCTTATTGCTGTCTCTCGGTATTCTGGCTCTCCAGCACTCACTGCCTCCCTTTGTCTTCTTAACAAGCACATTTCCCACGACATTAACCTCAGGAGGGGGAGGTAAAAGCGTTCCCAAGCTGAGCTGGATGTGAAAGGCTCAGCTGTGTGTGAAATGCTCTGTGGTGCCCGTGCTGAGCGCTCTCCGGTGCCCTCTGCTTGCAGTTCCACATGTCCTACGCTGACCAGGAGCGCTACGAGAGCGAGGAGCGGCCCGAGGTGCAGCGGCAGATCCTCGCCGAGATCGCCAGGAAGCTGCCGGTGTACACGAGGACAGGGAATGGAGGTCAGGCCGGCACGGGGCCCGAACCCCCCCAGTCACGGCCAGCAGCAAGGCTGGCACCCAGAGCATCCTGCTGAGCAGCAGCATTGCCAGGCACCCACTGACTCCTGCCCTCCCTTGCTCTCAGGAAAAACAAAAAAAGCCTTGAGCCCTCTAATTCAGTGCAGTTCCAGGTGCTGCCTTTGAGAAGCAAGATGTTACCCTCTGGATTTACAGTCCACATATGCTGTCTGTATTTAGAAATAGCAATAGAATAATCAAATCTGTCATAATTTTTACTTAAAATGGACTCTGGCTTAGGGATGCAGCACATACTTCTGTGACCAGTTTTCTGTATTGTGTTCAGTGATTAAATGCCTGCTGCACTCCCTTCACAGCTTAAAGAAATCTGTGTTCATATTGGAGGCTCTGACCTGTTTGTTTCTGTCAGGCAAGCCATTTTGAAGCAGAGAACTGGAATAAATAGAGAATTATCAAAATGAGGTGTAGGTAGTTGAGTAAATGTGGATGCAAGTGTGCAGCTTTGGTTTGTCACTTTTGAGCTGGCTGTATGAGTTAGAGCAGGTTTGGGATAGATGTTAGGAAGGAATTCCTTCCTGTGAGGGTGGGCAGGCCCTGGAACAGCTTCACAGAGCAGCTGTGGCTGCCCCTGGATCCCTGGCAGTGCCCAAGGCCAGGCTGGACAGGGCTTGGAGCAGCCTGGGACAGTGGGAGGTGTCCCTGCCATGGCAGGGAATGGAACAAGATGGACTTTAGAGTCCCTGCCAGCCCAAAGCATTCCATGGTTCTGTGATTTTGTGCTTTCACTCATTGTTGCACCATCTGCAAGTCTCCATCAGAACTGAGTGTTGCTTACCTGATTGTGACCTGCAGCAAACACCAGGTCACCTGCTGAAGTGATAGAGGAAAGAAAAAGAATAGTTAGGAAATGAGCACAGTATCAACTAACAGATAAAAAAAACCAAAACACTTTTCCTTTGTTTTAATTTGTCTCTGATTGCAGGGATTCGGTTCTGTGACAGATGCCAGCTGATCAAACCTGACCGTTGTCACCACTGCTCTGTTTGTGCCATGTAAGTCATGGGCTGCAGTCACCAGAAGGTTTTGGGAGTGGGCTGCTCCTTCAGGTGTCTTTGTACACAAAAAGGTTCCCCAGGGTCTCTGTCCCAGCTGCAGCTCTTCTGCTCTAGGGCAGAAATCATTCTTGTGTCTCTCTATCTCCACAAGGACCAAGGACATTGGTTGGTCTTCAAACACTAAGAAATGTTCCATTCTTAGAATTATATCTACCTTAAAAAACTTAGAGACAGCATCATTTTGAGTATCTGTAGTGTAGAAACCTCACAAAAATCAAAGTTTTGCTGTTGATCTGCAGTTGGTAATGAAGTACCAATTAAAAATCTTCCATTTTTCTTTTTTGTCCTTTTGCAGGTGTGTGCTAAAAATGGATCATCACTGTCCATGGTATGTCCCAGATAACTGGTTTGTGGTTTTCTGAAAGGAAAGGTTACTTAGATATATTTCTGTATGCCTCTCATGTCTGTATGCCTCTCACATTTTAGGCCATCCATCTCTTTAGTTTGGGAAACTTATAAAATAATTGCACTTTGAGATTGCCTGAAATTAAATTTTAACAAATCATTCACATTCACTCCATAACCCATGTGTAAAAATGCTATAATACTGATAAAGTTTCAACCCCAACTGCTAATTCACTCATTAACTATTATTGAAATTTGAAAGGAACTCCAGCTTAGCCTTTCCTTTGGGCTCTCTCAGTGTTTCAGCTGCACTTGGGGTGCTCCCAATAACAACAATTGCACATGGATTGTTTCTGGACTGATGATGGTCAGAGACAGTCTGTGCAGAAAGCTGCATGGAATAATTGAGCTTTACACCTTCCAGAATTGCTGCCACTAAATTTCTTAAATTCCTCCTTTTTTTTAAAAAAAAAAAAGGAAGATTTAAGAATTCAGAAACAAGCCAAACATTTCCCTACCTGAACCTTCCTGGTGATCAAAATTGGAGAGGATTTTCCAAACCTGAGTTCTGACACAAACACCCACTGGGGTTTTTTTGTACATCCCCGTGTTCCTTTCCAGAGTTGTCCTGTGCATGGAGAATTCTAACCAGGGTGGAGTGAATTGGGCTGTGTGTAACAAACAGGCAGGGCTGAGGTGGCTCCTGAGCTTTGCAAAGGAATAAAGCAGCACAGAACTCCCGGCTCTGATTTCCTTGGCAGACAAGAGGCAGACAGGAGGAACGAGCTGCTGCCTCTGTCACCCATTTCCCTGTGGTACCAACCTTAAAGCAATTCCAAAACTCGGAGCTGTGCTTCTCCTGGGCCCCGGGAAGGGTTGGAGGGAAAGGCACAGCCACCGGTTCTGTTCCCTCGCGGCCACTGAGGGGAGCCGCTCGTTGGCAAATTGGGTTGTGTGACCCAGGGGTTCCAAACCCCCGAAACTGGTTCGTGCTCTTTGTGTTACACCCACTGTGTGCTGCACCAATCCTGATTTCAACTTTGCTTTTGTCCTCCAGGGTGAATAACTGCATTGGATTTTCTAACTACAAATTCTTTCTACTGTTCTTAGCCTATTCTTTGTTGTATTGCTTGTATATTGCTGCAACAGTCTTCAAGTATTTCATTAAGTATTGGACAGTAAGTCATGAAATCCGGTTACTTTTTCATCTGCTCTCAGTCTCGTGGGCTTTGGTGACTCTCAGTGCTCTGTTGCTCTCAGGCAGTGGAGGGGCTGCATTTTCCTGGGAGGTGTTTCCTGGGCCCTTTGGGACTCCACCTCCTGTTAGGTGCCCAAAATGCACAGAGCAAGAAGCCAGGAATTTCAGACAGTAGATTATTTTCTGTCAGAGAGGTGCTGTCCCTTCCCTGTCCTTGTGTTTGCATGGGTGTCCCTTGGAAAGTTTGGCATTGATGTGTAAGATCCTGGCAATGATTTGTACATATTTACTGAAAAGAAAAAATGAGTCAAAACCCCTTGTTCATTTTCTAACCCCCACAGGCCTCCTTTCTCAATTTAAAAACAGTGACCCAAAGGAGGCTTTTACTCAGTTACTGCTGATTGTTTCTGTGAAATCAAGGCCAGCTGACAGCTCTAGTAGGACACTGGCCCTTGGTCTCTATTTCTGTCCCCTCTCCTCAGTACCTGTGTGTTTGTGTTTAGGTACCTTTGCTGTGCACTAATTGTTCCCCACGCCCAGCAAGGCACAGCCCTGAGCCTTGGATGTCCCCAGAGCCTGCCTGTGTCCCTGCTGGGCACCTCTGGCACCTGGCTCTCCTGCTGCAGAGGGAAAGGAGCCTTTCTTCTGCTGGGAGTGTCCCACTTGGCTTTTAACCCTTCCCCATCCATCTGTGCTCAGTTCTAACCCTCCCCAATAGCTGCAGATGTGCAGGGCAGGTTTCTCTGGGCTTACCTTGAGCAAGGTGCAGAATTTTAATGTATGCACAGGAAACTCAGCAGAACTTAATCAGGGCTTCAAGAGCTCCTGCCTGCTCATTTCCCCAGGCGCAGGGTGCTCCTCATGCCCACCTGGGCAGCTGTGCTGGGCTGGCTCAGAGCCATACCAAGGGTTAATAACACCCCCCACTCTTTGTGCTGTGGTACAGGAGGGGAAATGAACCACATTCATTTCTTTGTCTCTTTTTGCTTTATTTAGTAATGTTCCCTTTTGCCTGTAAATTTTGAGAACTCCCAATAGGAGTTTTAGAATTATATTTCTAAGTACAAATAATTTCCATCTTTAATTTGTTCCCATCACTTGTTCTGTGTTGCTTTCCTTTCCAGGGTGAGCTGACCAATGCACGCTCCAAATTCCACATCCTTTTCCTTCTCTTTGTGGCAATCATGTTCTTTGTGAGCCTCATGTTCCTGTTTGGCTACCATTGCTGGCTGGTCAGCAGGAACAGATCCACTCTGGGTAAGGCTCTTCTGTCTCTTCCTTCTGCTAAGACACACCAAAGGTGCTGTAAGAAGAAAAAAATAAAAGAAAAAATGCATTTGTTCTATTTCTGTACATTCCTGCTGGTTTATGAGGGGAGGAAGATTTAAGATCTTGGTACAAGCTGCAGAAATTTGTCACTGCAAATGAGCTGCATTTATTAGCTGGTGTGACAAAAGCTTTGTTAGGGAAACCAGAGCCTAAAAGTGTAGAAGTCCAATTATAAAAGTGTTATGCATATGTGAAACTGTATTTGCTGTGAAATGAGTGCAGCTTTTCAGGAATAATTTATTCCTGTACTGGGGTGCACCCCAATCAGCTTGGTGAGCTTGGGAAACACAGTGTCCATCTTTACTGATAAAGGCAAAGAAGTTGTGACTGTAAAGTCAAAGAAATTATCATCTAAAATAGTATCATTTTGCCAAAGTTTCTTTGCTTTTCCTCAGATAAATGTTCAACTTTCAAAGCTTTTGGGATAAAGTTTTGTAACAAAACAGACACTGTCAAGAGAGAGCAAATATTCTGATTTTATCAAGTTATTTACTTCAAAAGTCATTTCATGGGGCACTGAAGCTCATCTATCCCAAAACATCAGACCTGTGCAGCAGCTGAGCAGGGAGATCAAACTGTTCCTAAAGCACTCAAGGTTCTTCTCTCCTTTCTTTTCTTAATTTTATGCCCCACCAGAGCCCAGAGTTTATTTGCATTTGTTTATCCCTAGTGCTTGTTCATTCTAAGATTAACAAATGAGGTAATTTAAATCTGCAGTGCCACTTCTGGAATATGCACTGAACACCAACCTACTTCATCCTGCAGAGTTTTTTACCTAGAAACTTTTACCCTCTGAATTCCATCAAGTCCCACAGGAAGATCTTTTAACTCCATTCTCTGGATGAAACAACCCCTTGTGGGTTCTTTGACTGTTCTCTGGGTTCAGTTGCACAATCAAATTCTGCCTTCAGCTGGAAAGTCTTTACAGGCTGTGCAAAATGGGAAAAACCATTATTTTGAAACTCTGTATTGCTGTGTATCTATAATCTGTTAAATCATGTTGTCTTTTAGATGGTTACAAGATGCACAACCCTGTTTCAGAGTGTTTCCATTGATTTTCATTTTTTTTCCACTGAAATTGCCTCTGTTTGCAGAGGCTTTCTCAGCTCCAGTGTTTCAAAATGGCCCAGATAAAAATGGATTCAATCTTGGCTTTGTGAAGAACCTCCAGCAAGTGTTTGGGGAAGAAAAAAAGCTCTGGTTGCTGCCTATTGCCTCTAGGTAAGTAACCCTGCTAAAAGCTGATGTAATTACAGTTTTTCACATTTTGTGTCCAGGTTTAGGTCCCAGAAAATTGGGGGTTTTATGTGTCTTTGAGTAAGAGTGGGGCCATTTCCTGTTGGGTGTCACCCAAACACAAGTGAGATTTCTGCCCTGAAGAATCTGTGGGATAAATTGATAAAATTTATACCTATTAATGGCTTAATTTTCATAAATGTTTTCCTTAGTTCCCCTGTCACTTCTAACTGTCCACATTTTTCCAGGCCTTTTTTCTGTATTCAAATTACTTGACCAAATTATCACATTTACCTTCTGCTAAAAATTACTTGATTCCAGGCCACAAATTTCAACTTTTGTACTGCAGAGACCTTGAAAAAATTGAGAACCAAAATGAAAGACAAACACGGTGCTTTTCAAGCTTAAAGATGATTTTAAGTAAACGTCGGAAATACTGGCAACAGAAAACTTTGCAGAAAAAATGTAGAGAAATTGTCATTTTTTAGAGTTCCTTGCTGCTTTTGCAGTGTCCCTCTGTCTCTTTTCCATGCAGCCAGGGGGATGGACATTTTTTCCCCATGAGAACCTTGAGTGAAGCTCGGAACCCTCTCCTGGCAAATGAGGAGCAGTGGGAAGAGGATGGAATAGATGAAGAGCCTCAGGGTAAGGAATTAGTGAAATTACTTGTCCTGATCTACAGTGGCCAATAAATGAACTATAAGAGATAATCAAATAAAAAACTGTGTTGGTGAAGTCCCTGAGCAGCTGGGACTTGATTAATGAGCACAGACTAAAATGAGCTCTGCTTTGGAAACAATTCTTTTTTTAATAACTTTCTACTTGTAGGTGAATGAACTTAAAAGGTGTTTCAAGGGTTTGAGAAAGTGAAGCTGCCACAAACTGAGAGCATTTACAAGTAAATGTTGCTGCATGCAGCCCAGTTATTTGGGATATAAAGTGGTGCCTGCAAGGAGGAGAATATCTAGATTTTTTAAAGTGTATTTATCCTGTGACAGTGTGTGAAATCAGGCATGCAAACACCTGAGTTCAGGGATGCATTTAGGAAGCTGCTTTATACTTTGTCCAGCTCTATTTCCAGTGTAAATTTACCTGCTCTCCCTGGTGGGTTCTATGCATTTTGGTACTTACACAAGGTAACACAAATGAGTTTTTAAACCAACAAATTTCGCTTTAAAATAGCAAACTATGGCATTTCTGTGAATTTTTAATGATGCTTAAAATAACTCCTTTAGGAATGAGTCAGAGCTTCTTCCAATTTTTACAAACTTTAAATTCCATGAATAAATAATTAATTCTTCCATATGAAAACAGTGGCAGTGAGGTGATTTTTGGCTAGATCAGACCCCAGAGTATGGTCTGGAGTTTATATGAGGTCTCCCAATTTATAGTGCTTATAAAATAACTGACATTTCCAGGCAGTTGAACTGGATGATCACTGTGGTTCCTCTCAACTGAAATATTCAGATTTTCCCTTACAAAACAGAGGTAAATCAGTAAAAGTGTCTAACCAGAAAGACCTGAAATGTCCCATTGAAACTGCAAGACCTTTATTTGTCTTTGTGGCTTTAAAGCTTGTGACTTGGTTATGAAATAAATAAAGCCAATAATAGAGTAATCTCAGTTAAAAACAGCTGTTCAGTTCTCTCTGACAAGTGGTTGTCTATTTTTGTTTGTAATTATCCTTAAAAACACAGTCCCATGCTTAGTGAAAAATGTATTCTCAGTGAGAAAATCAGATTTATTTGTCTCTAACTGCTTTGGTTTTCACAGGTTCTGGTGAGGCCCCATCCCTTGCCATAGAAAAGGAGACATAGCAGTGTGAGCACACAGTGGTGGAAAGCTGCATCAGAAAGGTCAGTGTTTCTTTATCTCCCTCAAAACCACTGCTCTGCAGGGACTGGGGAGGTGATGTTGAAAAGGTTTGGGCTTTAGCAGAAAAATATTTCTCCAGCTTGCCCAGCAATCCCTTATTCAAGGGGCCCTGGAGAGCAGCAGATGCTCTCAGAGGCCCTGGGCTGGGTGGCACAGGTGACACCAGAGCCACCAGCACTCTGTGAAGGGGGGAACACCAACCCTGCAGCTCCTGTGGAAAACATGGCTGGGACAATGGCAGGATGGAAATTCTGGGGTCTGTGGGAGGTATGCAAAGGTGAGGTGTTAAACTGCAGCTGAGCACAGCCAAGGTGCAGCTGGAGACACAAGGAAGTGCCCTGTAATGTCACATCAGCTGTCACTCCTCTCCAGGATTTCCCTCCCCCTGGGAAAGGTGAGTCCCACACCAGCTGGGGCAGGTGCTGCTTCCAGAACATTCCCTGCTCTGCCTCCTGCAGGTGCTGCTTCCAGAACATTCCCTGCTCTGCCTCCTGCTCTGGCTTGGAGAACAGGGGAGATGCCCCACCCACACCTTGCCCCAGGAGCTGCAGGCAGTGAGGAGGGCACAATGTCCTGCTGTCCAGGGGAATGGAACTGATGAGATTCCAGCAGCATCCTCTGCTGTCCCTCTGGCAGGAGGTGGAATTGCCAGCTGGGTTTGCCCCTCTCAGTTCCAGGGCAGGCAGTGACTGCTGAGGCAGAGCCCTGCAATCCCTGCCTGGCTCCCCTCCACACTGCTGTCAGTGGGTGTAGGAGTCTGCCTTGTTCCACTGAGAAAAACCCCAGAGTGTTTTTCTGTCAGCAGTGAGGGCTGCATCCTGCCATCGCACCAGGCCAAGCAAAATCAAAAATCCTCTTGTTCTTCATGGCTCTAAAATGACTCCCAAAGCCCAGATCAGCCCTCAGTCCCTCATAACAGCAGTGCTATGGTTGCACATTTGTATTTCTTTAAATTTCAGCTTCTCTCTCAGGAGCCAACATCCCTTCTCTTGGCAAGGACTTCAGTTTTGAGGGGCAGAAAACAGGTGGATCTTCAAGATGAGAAAATATCCTGAAGTATTGTCTGATGGGAATCTGCATTCCAGAGTGCTTCTCCAGGAATCCTGCTGTCCAGATGTCCCAAGGCTTTATAAATTTAAGTTACAGAGTTAACAGAACAATTTTACAGAGTGATTTTGGCCAATCTTCTTTGGCCTGCTCTCTTTATTTTATAAATACTATCTATTTTTTATTCAGAATAGGTACAGATGTTGATGCGAGTGCGTTCCGAAGGCCTTTTCATTTTGCAAACATCAGGGACTCGAGCTCTTGAAATTCTTCCAAGCCATAATATTCTTGGGGATGGTTATTTATTTTGAGGCTGATTCTCCAACCTTCTCTGACAAGTGGCATTTTCTCATGTATTTAAATTCTGAGTGAGTTCAGCTCAATGCAAGACAGACCCAGTTAAATCTGGCACTAAATTTGGAGCTGAATGTAAAAGTGTTGAAAGCAAAAGCACTGAACATGCACATGTACATGTGCAGCTGTGAGTGAAAATAAAATATTCACATTGCCAGTATCAAGATTCAAGAATATTGTGGCCATAGATTTTTTAAAACTTTTTTAGGGGGGGTGTTATTTTCCTGGTGTTTGGGTTATAGTGCTCTTGCATCCCACTTGCAGGCTTCTAAAATGCAAAAGGGAACTTCAGACAGTCCAGTTTGCATTAATTCCTAGGGTTAAAATATCATCTCATTCCTGGATCAGTGTTTGATGGAGATTTGTGTGTTCACGGAGTCAGAAAGGAAGATGTGAATTTGAAATATGCACTGAAAGTTTGGCTCCAAGAGTCATGTTTGGAGTTTCACTCCACAGGGGTGGCTTTAGCCCCAAAATACTGAAGACACAATTGATGAATTGAATTTTTTCACACTTCTTCCCAGCTCAGTGCACTGAGTGGCTTCAGGGGTTTCTGCACTAAGAGGTGGTCAGATTTGTTTCTGCATTTTGCTGCATTTACAAAGAGGTGAATCCCTGTTTCTGTTCTGGGGCATGGAACTGAGACATGGCTGGCTGGATTATGGATCTTTTTCTAGACCTGAGTCCTTTTTTTTTAATCTGCATGATTCAGCCCAGTCCATCATTCTTGTTTGAATTAGGTGCATGCTAAAAGTATTGGTGTACTGCCTCTAAGATCATTTAGTACCATTTTCTATCCCATTTTTGTGTTTATCAGCCCACTGGTGTTGGCAGTGACTACAGGAGCAGCTGTGCATGACAGGAGAAAGGGGCTGATGAGTGAGGTTGGTGGTGGAGGCTTTGCCTACAGAATAAACCCCTTTTTCCTCTGTTCCTCTGCTGCAGGGATGTGTTTGTGAGCCAGGAGAGCCTTGCAGGGGTTCCTTCCCTAAGAGAAGGTGTTTCACTCCTGGCTGATCCATGCCCTGGGATGGAATTTTGTCCCTCAGCCTCTGCAGTTTGTGTGGAGCAGTGCTGACCTCCCTGGGATGTGTCACTGCTGAATTTGGTTGTGAGGGGCCCAGGTGGGCTGGCCCAGGCTCCTGTGGGTTTGTCTCTCCTCAGGGGGGCCCTGAACACTGAAAATGTTCCTATTCAGCCACCTGAGCCCCATCTGTTGAGTGGCTCTGTCACCAAACGGCTGCTGAGTGCTGGAAGGGTTCTTCCTGTCAATCTAAAGCTGCATTTCTGATGTAAATCTGGTGTTGGACCTTGTGCTGTGTGTGATGCGAGGTGGCAGCTGAATGAATCCCCTCATTCCTGGCAAAATGTGCTCTGGAGGGGGAGCTTGAGAGGATGATGGCAGCTAAACACAGCCAGAATTTAGCACCTACAGAGGTGCTATTTGTGCCTTTAAAAACTTTAAATTCCTTGTATATAAAACCAGGAAGGTGATTTGGTGACTTTCTGTTTCTTCCTGCCAGCTGAAGTGTATTTTCCCAGAGCTTGTGTGGATTTACAGGAGTTTTCTGAGCAGGCTCTTGTGCCCTTCCTGGCTTTGGCTCTGGTTCCAGCCCTGCCATTGTTTGAGTTGTTTCTGTGCCAGGCAGGAACAGGGAGCTGTGCAGGAGCTCCCCTGCCTGCTGCTGCTGCTGCTCTGAAAATCAGGGTTTGTCTTCTCATACTAAGGCAGATATCTTTGTGATGGCACAGGTACCAAGCTCAGATTGAAAAAGGGTTTTAAATGTTTCCAAGTAACTTTTATTCACTTTTCTTGTAATTAATTGTGGTCATCTCTTCCCTTTCCTTCAAAGCAGCTCAGCTTCCTGTGGTTGGAACAAACTCTTGTTAGAACAACACAAAGTTTATTACTTCAGAGCCACTTCTCAATATCCACACCTCAGGTGCTGGAAAGCTTAATGAAATGTGAAACAAACCCAAAAGTTGTGTAAAATGAGGCAGAACAAAATAGGAAAACCCCACATGTCTGAGTGAGCAGCTCCATTTTATCCCCTTCTGCTCACTTAAGGTGATATCCTTATTTTACCCTGACCTTTGTCCTTTTAATGCTGAGTAAATGCACTGGAAAGCAGAAATTCCTCAGGCTGCTGTGGTCACTCTGCAGGTGACAAAAGAGAAAATATTCAGCCCAGTGTGTGGTAGGCTTTTTTAACCTGCAAATGGCTCTTAGGGGTAACTCACTGCAGCACCTCCTTTGTTTTCCATGCCCTGACCCTCATCCAGAGGCTCTCCACCATCATCACTGACTGTAAGGGCTGTGTCACCAAAGCTCTGCCCTGCCTGCACCCTCCATCCCAGCATTCCAGGGCTAGGATTCATCCCCCAGTCCCATCAACACCAAGGACACTGCAGCTCTGAGAGCTGCCCATGATTCCATGTGAATGTTGGGCCATCTCACACTGCCTGTGCTGGTGACCCAGCATTCCAGGTACCCCTGAGCCCTCTGTGTGCCAGGAGCAGCCCAAGTGTCCCCACTGGGATTGCCACCAGTGTCACTGTCACCCTCTGGGTGTGTGCTATAGGTGCAGCTCCATCCAGGGAACCTGGAGAATGAAGGTTTGAGCCTCAGTTGTGGTGCTGCTGTCAGTGTGTGGCTGCAGGGGCTGCTGCAGGTGTTCTCTCCAGCCTGGAGCAGTGTGCAGGCAGCAGGGGAACTGTCCCCACCCCTCCAGGAGCTGCTTTCTCTGCCTAGCACTGGGTCTGCATTACAGCTTTCTCAGCCTGGAGCAGCTTTTCCAAGTGATCTCACCATGGGAAAGGAGGGAACTCTTTGGCTGGACTGTGCTGCCTCCATCTTTACCCCTCTGCTCCTGGACTCATCCTCTACAATAACTGACCACTAACAGCCACTCCTCACCTCCCCCCTTCTCTCCATTTCCATTCAGGTACAAACCCCAGACAGAGCATCACATTGATGTTTCTCTGTGTGCAATTGTCCTGAGTCCAGCCCTGGGCCAGCAAGTCCTGCCCAAGGAACCTGGACTTGGTTTCTCTTGCTGATTGGAAGTTTTTGGAGTAGGATAATCTTGTTTTCCTTCAAGCAGGGAGCACTGTGTATGTTTGAGGAGGCTGTACCCACTGTGAGGGGTGCAGCCACTGGTGAGAGTCAGGAAGCTTCCAAATCCCACTATGCAATGAATGTTTGCTTCCTGGGCCAAACAGGAATGGATTCAGCAAAATCCACACCAGCTGCAGCTCTGTAGTTCTGGATGCTGGTCTGGACTGAAAGCACAACTTGATGCATAAAGTCTGTCATGTGATATGAATGTAAAATGTAAAAGGGGAAAAAATACTATTTTTTCCCTGAATTTAGCTATGAAGAATGATGTACTGAGCAGTTACTCTGTGCAGAGCTGAGGCACTCATGGGAGGGTTTAATTAGCAGGGGAAGGAGCCACTGCTGACCTTGTTTATTAAGGCAGAACTAATTAACTCAAAAGGGTCATGTTTTCATTTCAGTGACTCCTGTGGTACAGATTTCTGAAATGGATCCATAGTACTTGAAAATACCTCAATTTTATTGATATTTTTCCAATTCTATCAGCTTCTGCTTTATTACAGAACACTTGCAAAGCTAAACTCACCTGAACTGATCAGATCCCTCAGGTCACTGAAGGTGTTTGCATGGTAGAGGGGCTCTGGTGTGGCAGACCCTGCACTGGCTCTGCCATGGGCTGCGTTCCCTGCCCTGGTCACACACACTGAGCTCACACCCACTGCTGCAGGGTTTTGGTCTCTTGTGCTTTTTCCATCCCACTTTGAGTATTCCCTCTTCCTCCTGAACATGCAGATAAATATTTTCAGCTTCGAGCTGCTTGTGCTGGTTTTTTGGATACTGTGAAGGTGAGTAGGTGTCATTTTATGCAGTTGTGCCATGTATTTTATTTGTAATTAATCTCTCTGTTTGTCAGGTATTGGTTTGTGGTTCCCATCATCAGGCTTTGCTTAGAGCAGGATCCCACCTCCTGCATTTTCTCTTTCCTAAAGCTTCATTTCTTCATTCTCCAGCTTCCATTTGGGATGTAAACCTTGTGAAATAAAATGTAAGTTTACATTTCAAATACAAGCCTGTAAGTTGCTCATGACTGCATGCTCCTTACAATACTATTTTTTTCTGTATGAGGTTTTAAGATTTACAGCAGCATTTGTAAAACTTTAGTGGGTGACAGCCATTGTTAAAAAAATAAGAAATTATGCTAAGGAGGGGGGGAAAAACCACAACCCCCAAAAAATCCAACAAAAAGGTCAAAGGGATCATCTCTGCTTCTTATTCCAGCTGTGCTTGAAAAGAAATGCTGCTTGCATGCAGTGCTGTCAGACAGCCCTGGGACAGGCAGGTACCTCACCTGAGGGCTTCCCTGCTGTTTCAGTACTTCCTGAAGCACTTCCTTGGGTTAAACCTTGCACTAAATCCCATGGAAACACAACAAAATCAGCCTCCCCCTCTCCCTTCTACCCTGGGGAAGGTGAGTGCAGCCCCTTCTCAGCACTTCCCTCTGTAAGAGAAGCAGAACCCAAAGTGAAAGTGTTGTTTTATTATTCCCCCACCTTTTTCTGGAGGATCTGGGAGCCTCCAGGATGTGTCCCAGAACTCCCTCAGCACCTGGATCTCTGCTGATGTCCTGAACTGCTGGGCTGGTGCAGGTGCCCCTCCCTGGGAGGGACCAGGCTGTGCCTGAGAGCTGGGGTGAGCAGGTGGAGCTGTGGTTCCTCTGCTCTGCTAGAGCTCCATCCTTCTTTGGAGTTAACTTCACTATGGAATGGCTTCCTGCTCTACTCATGGAGCTGCTCCAGGGTGACTCCAGATCCACTGCTGGAGCAGGGAGCTTTGGGCTAGGAACACAGCAAGTAGGAAAGGTCTTGTTATTTTATAAATGTATAATCTGCCTGCTCAGATGGCTGCTCCTCAGCTGAAAATGCAGTTTGTGGTGCAGAGGGGTCCCTCAAAGATAGAACTGAGCTGGATCTCAGGATCAGAGAACGGCAGTGCCATGGTGCTGTCAGTGTATCAGGAGGGTTTAATGTCATCCAGAAGAGCCAGGGGGTTTCACACACTGGAAAATGGGGCTGGAGCAGAACCCCACTGCAGGGGGAGCCCTTTGGGGGCTCCCTTTGGGGCAGGATCAGCTCTGCCTTCCCCATGGAGCTGCCAGACCTGGGACACAGCAGCACCCCCTGAGTGGAAGCTGCACCCAGCTGCTCTCAGGGCCCAGCATGGCCTGGGGCTGGCAGGTGTCCTGTCAGAACTGCTGGTTTAATACACATCCCTCCCCCCAGTTCAATGGGATGTAATTATTTTGCAAGGAATGTCACAGCAGGATTGCTGCCCACCTTTGGGGTGTTGTGTTCAGGAGTTTAATGCTGCTGCTGCTGGCATTGAGACTTTTGATATCAAATGGGTTTTTACAAAAGCCTTGGATACTCGTTTTTACTGTCAGACCAATGCTCTGACTATGCTGATGCTCTGTGGAGTTTCACGGGTATTTTCCAAGTGTTTGTACAGTTTCTACAGCTGAATATCCTGTATGTTCTGCTTTGTTGTTTTTTATTATGGTTTATACTGCACTGCAGGCAAGGACTGCATTAAAACCATTTTTGGCTAATTTAATAGACTTGTGAATGGTTATTTCCTATGCTTGGGCCAAACACTCCTTCTCTGGAAGTGTTATACAACTTTAATTAATTGGAATTACTGCTTGGAACAGGGAAGGTTCTTCATCTGTGACAAAAAGATTCATGGTGTGGGCAGCCCTGACCTCAACACTCCACTCACCTGATGAGAGGTAAGGACATTACTTGAGACAACATTCCCTAATCCTGCAATTGTAGAATATGGATATATTTTAAAATAATTATGGTTTCTTTTGTATTCATGAATTTCCCCAAAGTTACAGTAAGGGGAGGTACTGGCCAGCTGGGTATGGTGTGTTTGATGCCAGGGGATTCAAAGAAAGAAGGGATTTGGCTGCAGATGATGTTTAATGTGACCCAAACAATGAGTGCCCTGAGGCTTTGGAAAGGCTGCTGAGCCCTGAGGGCCATGCTTGTCTTCTGGCTCTGGTGCTCCTGAACAGGACTAGAAATTGAGTTCCAGCTTTTTGCTGCAGTTTTCCTGTCATTTAAAGGGTTGGTGAGACTGATACAGCGACAACTTTTGTCTCACAGAACACCCAAGTTCTGTGTGTGTAGAATTTCCACAGGCAGTGCTCCGACCCCCAGTTCCCACCCAGTCTGCACCTCTGCTGCAACAGGAATCTTCTTGTTTCAGGAGCCCTGAGCAAGACAATCAGGGTTGTTTCCCTATTTGAGAATAATGTTTGCACAGCAAAATCCCAAGAATTTGTCTTTTATAGCAGCCAGACCAAAAATGGCTGCTCAGGAGGACCCTGAGATTTGGAAGCACTGGGAGTGGCTGTGGCTGGAGTGATGCAGGTGACCCTAGAAATGAAGGACACTCCCTGGGGGTTTAGTTGGGTTTATTTTGCTCTTGCAGGAGGCCACGGACAGGCTGGAGAAGAATAAATAGGTTAAAGCAGAGTGTGGCAATGACAGAGCCCCAACATGGAGATGCTTGACCGTGTAACCAGAGTGCTTTGTCACTGTGCCTGATCCCTGTTCAGGCCAGCACTAACCTAAGCTAGTTGGCCAAAAAGCTTTTTAAACATGCCCTCGGCCAACTCAATAGTAATAAAATGTAAAAAAAACCTCTTGTAATGCCATAGAGTCATATCCAGTTGTTCCAAGACTGTCAGTCTGTCCCAAAGTACTTCTGTCCAAAGTGTGTTGGTGCAACAGGGTGCACTTCTGTAGTTAAAATGGTGATTTCTGGGAATTCCTGGATGATGGATTTGGCACCTTGGAAGAGACAGCAAAGGCAATAATGACTACAGTGCTTCAGTCCATGTCAAATCATGACCAGCAGCATTCCAAAAGTAAGTCAGGCTCTGTGCTTGTCTCCTCTTCCTGTTCCTGCCTTAGCTAACCATCTATGGGGAAAACTGCCTGACTTCAGGGGATTGCTGTTTTGGGGTTTTCTTCTTTGGAAGTGCCTTTCCCACACACCCATACTCCCAATTAAAGTGGT